ATCAGTGACTGAAAGGTGACTATAAACAGACTCACAAGACAGTAACAGACACTTCCTACACAACATCTACACAAACCTCCATCACTGGGGCATCTGCCGAGCACAACATGCCAACCTCCTGCCTTCAACACTGTACACATTAAACCATCAGGTAACCTAATAGCTTCACAAGCAACAAAACAAAACAGCAGAAAACAGCCAGATACCAGGGTACACATCTGTAATCATTAACACTTGGGAGGTGGAGGCAGAAGGATCAGGAGTTCAAGGTCATCCTTACCTACATAGTGAGTTCAAGGCCAGCCTGGACTAAAAGAGGCATTGTCTCAAACACACACACACACACACACACACACACACACACACACACACACACACACACACACACACACCCCAAACATCATAACAAACTAAACAAACAATAATTAGATCTCATCCAAAAACAAGGCAGCTGGATAGTGAAGAAAGAACATTTGCTACCTCCCACAAAACCAAACCTAACCATTCATCGTGTAGCCAATTTTATCCCCTGGGAAAATGGGGCTCATGTCACCTATATCAGGACTGTTATGAGGTTTAAATAAAGTAAAGGTCTTGGAAAAACCTTTTGTAAGCCACCAAGTTTTGGGCTATTGACATACTTCTTCATGCTTAAACTTTCTCAAATTCTCAGGCTGGAGAGTTGGCTCAGTGGCTGAGATTACTTGTTGTTCTTGCAAAGGACCCGGGTTTGATTCTCAGCATCCACATGGAGGCTCACCACCTCTTCAGGCACCAGAAACTCATTTGGTGCATAGATGTATATGCATGCAAAACACCTGTACACCCAAAATAGTAAAAATGAATCTAAAAATAAAAAATAAAATTGAAAAAGTCCAAATTGCCTAAGAATGAGGCTGCTATTGCTCTGAACATTCTCCATGAAGGCGCACGACCTCTGGGTCTTCTGCTATGACTCTTAGGACTTGTAGGGAAGCTCTAATCCCTTTTATTGCTAAGAAATAAAATACTTCACTGCAAAATTGACAAGAATTCTTTTCCTATTCAAATCTGCCAGGCCAACCAAGAGTTACTTTAATAAGTTCATGACATGGTATGCTCTGAAACTGTCCCTCAAAAGAGCTCTGTGCTCTTTATACCATGCATTTCTTATGTTTACAAGCATCTGCTTCTAATCTACATTCACGGGTGTTTTTTAAATAGGAAAAATCTAATTTTTTCCTTATTATTCTGCAAATTTTCATTACATCTTGACTTATTTTCAGGGCGTTATTTCTTTGGTGACACTCCACAAATCAACAGAAAATGTACCTCATAAAACTTGACAACCCTGCTTTAGAGGCTGACCAGGCTGTGTGCTCAAGTCCTGCTATGACAGCTATCGACAAAACCACCACAGTTAGCTGGGTGTTTCCAAACTATTCAACTAAACAGTTACTGTTGTTTACTAGTTAATAAATGTTTCTTATCTATTAAATTATCTGTTTATCTGGGTTTACAGGGAAGAGAACAGGTCATTTCTTTTTCTAAAGACTATGTACAGAGTTCACAGCACTGCAGCCCAAGGGCTCTTGTGGATTCTGGGTCAGGCCAGGAATTCCCACAACATCTCCTTAGAGGCTGTACGTCTTCCCACCATCAGGCTCATCCCAGTGCACTGGTCAGACTCAGCTTCTGGGACACAGACTGCCTGCACACTTACATTCTTCTACCTCCTATCCTTCCATAGGGAAAGGAAGCATGCCATTTAAAATCCCAACCACACCCAACAAGGGGAACACTGAAACACTAAAATTTAGTTTACAGAAACACGAAATGAAGGTTGGAAGTGGTGCACAAAAGCACAGTGATAAAGTGTACAAGATTTTAGAACTGGTTGCCACATTTACTGAAAAGTCACTAAATGATTTGAGGATGGGGGCTATTCAGGCAAGCCTGGCCAGAAGCTTATAAATACACACACACACATACACACACACACACACATACACACACACACACACCAAATAAACAAACAAACAAACAAACAAACAAACCAACCAACGGTAACACAGGAAGGTGTGGTGGTCCCAGCATAAACAATCATATCATACTTAGTAGAAGTAAAGTCATGGAATATAGATTTCAGATCAGTATAAAGAAGAACTAAGGATTAGAGCTGTACAAAAAAGGAATGGGTTACCTTATGAGGTAGTGGGCTCCCTGTCATTAGAAGTATTCAAGAATGCTGCATATCATATCCCCATCTTGGAGATTCACAATGCACATTAGCATATTAAAGGTTCTGAGAAGTCCTGCAGTAAAGAAACCTGTTTAACTTAGTTTAGTGCAGCATTTCCCAAATTATTTGACCACAGAACCCTTTTCCCACCCCAGCCCCAACCTCAGAAATATTTCTTCAGTTTCTGTAGAACCAGAGTTTCTCAAAACACATTGATTACAGAAAACAAAGGCCTCCGTTTTTTTTTTTTTTCAATGTAGTATTCAATGTGCACCTGAATAAGTAACAACCTGTCAGGGATGTAAGCAAAGCAATTGCTATGCAGGACAGATGTGTTCTAGAACCACAAGGTAAGGGGTCTTGATTACTACTTTACAAGGTTCCATGAGGGAAAGGCAACAGAATTACATAGTAGCAAAATTCAAGGTTCATTGGCTCAAGAGACTCCCTCATACATTCAAATTCCAGTTTCAAAACCCAGAGAGATACTAGAAGGACCACAAAGCCAAAAATCTGCTGGGCATGGTGGTGGTGCACGCCTTTAATCTCAGCACTCAATAGGCAGATCTGTGTATTTATTCATAGCCAGTCTAGTCTATATAGCCAGCTTCAAGCCAGCCAATGCTACATAGAGTGAGATCCTGTCTCAAAAAGTCAAAACCAAACATCGGCTCTAACTATTCTACACAGTAAGTTAACTACTATTTGAGGACAGGTGTTTTTTTGTTGTTGTTATTGTTTTGTTTTTGTTTTTTTTTTGTTTTTTGTTTTGTTATATTATTTTCTTAAGCAGCCTTACATTAGAGGATTACACAAATAAAGCTTGATTTTTTTTTCAAAGCACATGCTCTCCAAATAAAGTAAATATCTGTCAGATGCTTAGTTACATCAGATCACCCAGTGCAATCTAGGATCTTGAATTAAGACATCCAAAAACTGAATAAGTATGATAAGTTATAAGCTGTTAAAAAGTCTATTAAAGGAGCTATCAAGAAAAAATGTGCTTGTCTTTCTCTTTTCTTTTAAAAATTATACAAAGCAACACACACTAAAAAGCAATCTCAGACTTGAAGACAATCTAATGTCAAGTGTAAGAATACAGACATCAAGAGGCTCCAACGTCAAGGTGAAAAAGGCCCCATGGCTACAGTAACCTGGCCAGTCTATACTTAGGGGAGCCTCAAATGTGACAACACAGTAATACAGAACACAATGGGAACATGCACTGGTCTTTCCTGACTTTGAATTCTCAGGCCTAACTACTGCAGTAACGGCATTTTGGCAAGAGGACCTTCAACTTTTAATGAGTTATCAAATCCAGGAGCATGCAAGTCTAGTGGAGTTATCAGAAAGAAACGCAAATGTATTTCAGATACAGCTATGTGAAGCTAAAAATTCACTTTCAGTGCAAACAGCAAAGCCTTCTTTTGGGGAAGGAAGCTTTTTTTGGAGGGGAAAAAAAATCACTTATAATGTCACTTAATATCTGAATGAGTCCAGCTAGAATCAGGCACACTGTGCTTGCTTAGTTAGAGTACTTACCAATTTTGGGGAAACTGGCTCTCCTTCAGCTCTCTAATCCCCTGTAACAGAAGGAAAAGCAGAGTTAAAACTACAAACAGATTGATGATGTCATCAAAAGCTAAAGACTCAAAGATTTCTGACTTTAAAGGAGGAAAAAAAAAAACCCAAAAAACAAATACCAATCTCTAAAATTTAAAACCCAACAATACACAAGGAAGAAAATGAGTAGTTTTTACAGCAAAGAAGAAACTCAAGAGCAATTAAACCTCTGCTTTAACACAGCTTTTCAAGACCAGGAAAAAAAAAGTACAGGTGACCCTTGAACATTGGGGAGGGCATTGCTAAGGGCACAGACATCCTGAGACAAAATTAGAGCAAAAATTTTGGTTCCTCAAAAAACTTAACTACCTTAGCTCCACCTTGAGCTGTCAACAGGAAGCCTAACCAATGAAACTAGCAGTTATCAACTGACATTGTGCTTTTCAGGTAACATGCAAACAGTGAAAAGTGAGTGATAACCACAGATGACCCACCCACACAGAGAGAGACCAGCACACTGCCACATTTTCCAAATACTTAGACACCTGAGCTCGGGACCACACTTGGAAAGCAACAAGAGGGACCATGAGTTATTCCAACCATGCAGTGTTAGCAGCCAGCTTCATGTAGTTGTGGTCTGACACTTAACATTTGTTTGCACTGCTCTCGGCTGTAAATGCATGTGAACGTATGTGGATATTTTGTAGACTGATAAAAGACCTAGCCATATATATTTTATTTAATCAAATGGCTCCGATGCACTCTCTTTACAATAAAGCATAAAGAATACTGTAAGTCCTTAGTTTGGTCCACCTAAAAGGTCTCTTGGTAATAAATCTTTAAATGGATTTGCTTCATGCAAAGCTTTAAAGTCACAATATTCTATAATGTATAATAAGTATAAAATAATATTAGTATATTAGTAATAAATAATGTAATCAGATTTTTAATTAAATTTTCATCCATATTCTTACATTTCTATCACTGCTTGGGACTGTACGCCATAAACACATAATGGTTCTTCTTTGCCACATTCATAACTAGTGATAAAGCCAGAAAGAAATCCTTATATTCTGACCTAGTATTAGGGAACTAAAATTAAAATGGAGCCCTGAACATTGTGAGCACTCAACTAGCTCAACTCCACAACATGCTCGGTCTTCATTATGCCTAAAACATGTCTGCTGACCTATGCTACTCCAATAGTGTCTTGTTTCCTTAGTGTATTTCAAAGATCCTGCCTCTCAGATGAGACATTTTTGTTAACCACGTACAGTCATATTAAGCATACAGTAAAGTTATTTAAAAGGCCCTTGATTCATGCAGTCTACATTTATTTCCAAAAAGAAATTAACCTGGCTATTCTTCCTTATTTTTGTGTTGTTGTTATTGTTGTTTCTTTTGTTCTTGTTTAAGACAAGGTCTTTCTACATATCCCTAGCTGTCCTGGAACTCGATCTGTAGACCAGGCTGGCCTCAAACTCACAGAGATCCACCTGCTTCTGCCTCCTGAGTGCTGGGATTCAAGGTGTGCAACAACATGCCCAGCTCCTCCTTTTTCTCTGACTACAGTTCTTTTCAAAGTTCTCAGGAGTCCATCTAAATAGCTATTTTAATCATAGGGATTAGAATGGATTCCCAACCACAAGAAAAATCATGCAACAGATCCGTAAAATAATGCAGTTACTAAAAACTAGACTCTAAGTGTCCTCCTGCTTCATATAACTCGCTCTGCCAAGGATGGGAGCTTTGAGTCATAGCTGACCCCTACTAAACTGGATTTAGGGCCAACAGGTACAATTTACAGAAACAGTTTCACATCTGCAGATATTCTAAGTCTCCTCAAGTTGTTTCTCATGCATATGCTACATGCGGGGTAAATGCTTAACCAATTCCCAGAGTGCTGAGACTCTCTTTAGAGACGAGTTTTCTGCTGTTTGAATGTTAGTGAAGTGTCATAGAAATTATACTCATTACTGGGTGTGGTGGCGCACGCCTTTAATCCCAGCAGCACTTCGGAGGCAGAGGCAGGTAGATCTCTGTGAGTTTGAGACCAGCCTGGTCTACAGAGAGAAACCCTGTCTCGAAAAACAAAACAAAAAAGGAAGAAAAAAGAAATTATATTAACTTATGAAAGAATTTAAAATCTAAGACACATTTTTTTCATGCTTGTTTGTTTTAAATACTTTTATCCTCTAAATCCTACATTGTCTTTGCTGTCTTCAACAACTAAAAGCTATTTTGGAACTACTTTTTTTTTTTTTTTTTAAATAAAATTTCTTCAGCTTTGTGACTTAATGATACAGCTAGCTTTTGTGATTACTGCCTCTCAACTTCTAAAATCCTTTCAAATAAAATATAATTAGGCCCACAAAAAAAGTAGATTCTCATTATTTCAGTTACTATAATGAAGAGTCCACAGTACCACTCAAAAGATACCTAAAACAGTGCCAGGCACATAGTGAGCACTCAATAAATGGTCAAGTCAGTAGACTGGTTGAATGGAAACAAACTGCTGCAGGCTCATATTCCTAGTTCCCCAACTTTCTTGTTAGATAACTCCTTAGACATCAGTCTTCCACTGTATTAACTACATAGATGAATGCATTTCTAAAACTGTTTTTATCTACACCATTCACCAGGAAGTAAGACAATACCACTTCAAAATATAATGAAAAGAGAAAGACTGACAAATTAGACTAAACTAAAATTCAGGACTTGTGTTCATTTGAAACACAAAATGAAACACCATATAATGCACGAAGGCCAGCAAGATAGCTCTGTTGGTCAAAGGGCTTATAGAAAAGCCTAATGATCCCCAGGACTTACATCGTGGAAACTCACAATGTGGACAATTCCTACAAATCTTCCTCTGGCATGAATGTTCAGACACATAAATAAATAAATGTAATAAATTCTTTAAAGTATGATTGAATATCCAGGATATGTAAAATCCATTGATACTCAAACACAACCAGGACAGGACGAGTTTAACTTCTATTTAATACAGCGTCAAGAAAAGTGTAATGACATAAACTCTTCTGAGAAGTCAGCAGAAAGACAGTACAATGTATGCATATATATTTAGTGCCCAGGCACTTTCTCCAAAATTCAGTGGCACATCCAATCCTAAGCTAATAAAGTGAAAATCATGAAGCCATAAGATCATGAAACTGATTATAAATTGCTTATAAGGAATATAGAAAACACAAGAAAGCAAAGCCTGAGAGACATTTCTCAAAGGGCACTCAGCTGGTTGGTGGTTAAGGAGACAAGAACTCGAAGGTTTGGGGCCCCAGTGACTGAGCGTACTCCTCCACCAGACATCACTTGCTCTGAAGTAGCATGAACTCCATTGCTCTTCTAAGAAATGAGCAAAAATAAACATGGAGAAATTGTCTCAGCACAGTTTTAGAGGGAAAAAAAACAAACCACACGTAAGCTACTTAGGGCAAATTTTAGAATTCAATATCCTTTATGCTTAAGGATAATCACAAGCGGGCTTCAGAGGGCTACACCAGCAACAGACGGACAGTAGATTCTGTATGCATAAGCAGAGATGTAGCTTCAGGGAAACAGGTCCACAGTATCAATCAGACCCTCAAGGAGACTCAGACACCCAAGAAGAGCAAATACTCTCAGACTAACATCTTAAAAGTGTGCACATCAAGACTTCAAGGGTTTCTTTGGAAGACTGATTGTTAAACTGACTACCAAGTGGAAAGTAGCCAAAAAAACGAAAAGAAAAGCAAATATTTCTTTTCTATAATTTAGTAATGCCGAGCAGCCAAATGTAAGACTGACATCTAAGTCTGCACATTTTGCACTATCCATGTGCAGAATGTACCCAAGTCTGAAGTTTTATTTCCTCACTTCAGGTTGATAGTGGTCTGTCTGTTTCTTACTACATTTCATACTTGTAACTGAGGTCTTTTAAAACCGTGTTTAAATCTGCTTAAATATTTTAAATATGGATTTCTTCTTGAAAAATACACTCAAGAGCTGGACATGGAGACTATCTATGTGCCTGCAACCTTAACAAGTGGTAGGCACCTAAGTTAGGGGGATTCAGAGTTCCAGAACAGCCTGGATGAACACAGAGAATTCTGGGCTGGTCTGAGCCACACAGTGAAACCTGGGCTACACAGTGTTTTAAATAAGTCAACAAAAAGGCATTCAAAATATACTCAAGTTAGAGTAAATACGATTTTTTTTTTTGCTTTTAGAGATGAGTATTATTTTGCTAACCTAACTTCACACACTTTTTTATAAACTCCCCCTCTATAGAACTTCACAGATAGCTACTTTAATTAGAGCAGGCAAAGAAACAAGTCATTCAGATTTCTGGTATGGTTATGAAATTTAAAACATTATCAATAAATCAAAGATGATTAATAACCACTTCCTAAGTACCTTTTGTAAAGCATCTAAGAGCTTTGCATCTAATCTACATTAAACAATAAACAAATTTTGCAGAGAAAATTTTAACACTAGATCATGTTTTAAATTAGGCTAAAAATTTAATATGCCCACTACAAATTTCCAACAGTTAAGTTTATAGCCTGTGCTCAATCATAAATTTTGATCAGGGACTAGAATAGCACAGGTAATTGCTGTTCAAAAATATTTTGAAATGTTACCTCACCTACAAGATTCAGTCTCTCCTCTTCCCTCACTATATCTGACAGTCTCCCAATAACTAAGTTGTTTTTTCAGTTGTCTGTCCTTCCTAACTTCCAACAGAAAAGCACATTAAGTTTGAAATAAATGCAAACATAGATAAATGGTTAGGAGAAAGAGCAGAATTCCATTGATGGTAAGTTCTGTAGACCCCCGTGCTCTGTGCCCACCCCTCAATACTTGACACAGAGGTATCTTAAGCTCCACAGCACAAAATTAAACTCTTGACTCTGCAGCCTCCAGCCTCCTCCTCAGCCTTTAGCATCTCCACAATGGCAACCCCGGTCTTCCAGCAAAAACACTTGAATGTCATACCCCACATCCAATTCAACTAGCCATG